GTGGTGGTGCCGGTGATGGTGGTGGTGACGGTGATGGCGGTGGTGGTGGTGGTGGTGGTGGTGGTGGTGGTGGTGGGTGGTGGTGGTGCCGGTGGTGGGTGGTGGTGGTGCTGGTGATGGTGGTGCCGGTGATGGTGGTGGTGGCGGTGATGGCGGTGGGTGGTGGATGGTGGTGGTGCCGGTGATGGTGGTGGCGGTGATGGTGTTAGTAATAGTAATAATATTAGTCTCGAAACCGCCCACCTTCCCTTCCGTCACCCTACTCTTTCACCCTCAACCCGTCTAGCATCTCTTCCGTCCACCTTTCCACCATCCCTTCCCCGTCCACCTTTCCACCATCCCTTCCCCGTCCACCTTTCCACCATCCCTTCCCCGTCCACCTTTCCACCATCCCTTCCCCGTCCACCCTTTATCAGAATAGCAGCAGGATCTTACCACCTACTGGCCGTGTGACCCACAAGCCTGAGGCGAATCGTTCCCCACTCTCGCTCTCTGTCGACTTTCTCTCCCTCCCTTTTCTGTTTCTCTTTTCCTCTCTCTATCCTCTTTCTCTCCTCTGATACATTAATTTTGGTAATAATCGTTAGCACTTTCTATGTCAGTAGTAAAGGTGTCTGATCACTTCCAGTTGTCGCTCATTAGTGTTGAAACCTTTATTGTATATAATTATTAACCTCATTGTGATCCAACCAACGCGCTTCGCAAACTCTACGTTGTCACACTCCTCACTCTGCCTTTTCTCTGCACTTTACACCATGTCGTCTTCATGCTTCACCCCAAGTGTCCTCTACTAAAATTAGATAGTAAAGTTAAATCTTTCCACCGAAATTTTGTCCAAATTAATTCTTTAACATTTACGAGTTCTCTTTACCTGTGTTAATATTTAAGGTGTACAGTAAACTAAAGACTGTACAAGTTTACAGTGTAAGACGGACAATAATTCATAAAGTATTCTCCTTACCTCGGCTTTTGTCTTAGTGTACGTCAATATATGAGGTTAATATTCCGTTCATAATTATAGAACTAATTTCTTATCACATCACGTCGCCCTTGTAGCTCAAGCATTAACTCCGGCTGAGTAGTGGTCGAACTCACCACCCACAATGGAGCCGACCCTTGGGCCCAGCTCCTGATAATCACTCCCTGCCACTGCCATAATTCTTACATAGCGAGAAGATATGATAACTATATGGTAGACCCACATGCTTTATCCTCTGAGTTATTAAGACCGAGGAACTTTGCCGTCTGCCTATTAGGAAGTCCGGTCTTGGCTCATTAGAGAAAAAATATCAGTTGAAAATTAGTTCTAAGGATTTTTCAACTAGTGTTAAGTAGTATCTCTTATAAGGTGATTTTCGTCGCTTCCTCACGGCACTCATTCATTTAGCCGTCAGAGTTTTTATTTAAACACTTTAACATCTTGGTCACGAGCGTGCAAAATCAATTGCAAGGCTGAAGCTGATGAGGGCCCCTGGGTAACCCGGACTGCTGCAGGGGGGCCGACCAGTGCAGTGGGGGATATAGCGAAGGTCCTTAATTGCTGCAGGGGGTGGCGGTCCTCCAGGTGTAGTTGTGGCGAGGGCCTCTATATACTAACACTGCTTCAGGTGGGAGTATAAGACAATAGTGAAGCTTAGACTCGTTCAGAGGAAGGATCAGGAGAGTCGGAGAGTCGTAACTGAAGTGAAGCCCTTCGTAACTGAGGTGAGACCCTTCATAACTGAGGCGAGGCCCTTCGTAGCTCACTGCTTCAGAAAGATGTCTAAAATAGTGGAAGTGAAGGATGGGGTCCCAGGGGGGTGTGGCTACTGAAATATGAGCAGTACATCTGTCCAGGTAGATGCTGTGAAGGGTTGTGGCCTGTGACTGTGGCTGCCGTCAATTAAAGAGGAGCGTAAAGGGACTTATTATCCCAAACTCTTGGTGGCAAAACTGGAAAAAAGTATGATGTGTGAGGCCGGTAATATGTGTTTACCGGCAGTGACGGAGTGGAGGAAAGGGAGGAGGGGGGGGATTACAGTACCTATGGGCGATTCGTGTATCAAACCGGGGAAAAAAGTTGGGAGTCTGTAGTTGCCGTGGCATGCAATGGTACAGTGAAGACCAAGGTTTAACTCAGTTTGTGTGATCAAAAAATTGAAATTACTACGTGTTGTGTTGTCAAGAAGCTGTAACAAAAAATGAAAATTGTTAAGGAAGCGTTGAGCGGTTTCTCTCCACGAAAATATTAAATAAAAGATACGAGCGCAATGGAGAAGAAATTGTAATAATAAGTTACATTGGGAAATCCCTGGGAAGTGTGCGGAGGGGAGGAGGAGGAACTACTAGTGGCTTTATAATCAGACAGAGGAGAGGAATGTTTATATAGACATCTAAGATAAACTTGACATACTGAATACACAGCCAGACAAGCACGGGGGAATTTTTTCATTATTTTTTTTTTCACCACTCGGTATTTTTTTACGAAATAACTGTGACAAACATTGATAGATATATAATTTGTCCTTATAACTGACTAGAAATATTTGTGGGGAAGGTGTAATATAATGGCTGTGAAAACAACAAAGAACGGGACAAAGACGCTGCTTGATCAGGAAGCGGCGACTTAAGACACTGAAAGCACCGAGCTCGCTCGCTCTCTTTCACAAAATAAAGACTGATTCTTACTTTTAATCAACTTACAGGTAAATTCTCTGTTGTTCAAAATCCACCTATAATTTCCTTGAGTATACATAAATGTTTAATTCATTCAGTATTATTAATAATTGTGCATTAGAGAGATTGATTACCGCAAATGATATGCAATATAAAATAACTAATAGCACTCACAGGTAATATTGGAAGGACTTTTTTTTCCCAACTGATAAACACTAATCACTTATATAGAATACAAATACTTTACGTTAGAAATTTCCAATACAAGTAAACAATACGAATGTTTGTCAGTTCAACCTTCAAAATCAAGGAAAATCTAAGATGGTGTACAATTAGTAGCTATAATGTACCTATCACCTTATAAAGTCACGGAAACTAATTATTTAATCCCTAATTCTTGATAAATATTTGTTCCTTAAAGCGAGTTTTGCAATAAGAAAATATGAAGTTTATTTCAGTCGTCTAAATCAGTGAGTGCTAGCGAGTAGTCTACATACATCAGAGTGCTAGCGAGTAGTCTACATATATCAGAGTGCACGCGAGTAGTCTACATACATCAGAGTGCTAGCGAGTAAGTCTACATATACATTAGAGTGCTAGCGAGTCAGGCACCCGATTAACTTAAGCAGTACTATACCAGTAGGTCAATAGGGACTTGACACCACCCCCTCCCCCCCAGTACTGTATCCAGGTCACCGTTACCGACGTTCACGCTTGGTGATCGTCTTACATACATGACAAAACCATTCACATTTTCAAGCACTATCATATACTTTCATTTCACTTATACTTTTCATTTCACTTATACTTTTCATTCCACTTATACTTTTCATTCCACTTATACTTTTCATTCCACTTATACTTTTCATTCCACTTATACTTTTCATTCCACTTATACTTTTTACTTTACGTTTACTTTTCATTATACGTTCATTTAATTTTCATTTCATTATTATTTACTTACACTTTTCAATTTACTTATACTTTTAATTTTCTTATACTTTTCATTTCACTTATACTTTTCATTCTACTTATACTTTTCATTCTATTTATACTTTTCTTTTCTTTTTCACTTAAAAAAATATATATTACTCGTAATAATTTTCCCCCTATAATTTATTTCGTTTCGTTGGTTTAGTCTGACATTATCTAATCATTGTATCGTCTGTTCTACTACCCTGGGTTAGGTTAGGTTGGTGAATTGGCGTTAACTAAGTAGAGCCTGTGAAATTAAGTCACCCTTGCTAAAACCATATTTTTTTTTCACATAGATCAGAATGCATCACCATAGATTATTTATCGATACCCTATGTTAGTTTTTAATTAACCCAAGTAATAATTTTTCGTACTATAAACAGGGTGTCGCAAAATAATTATCCACACTATTCTATATTGAAATATTTGAACCTGACAAGACATATATTTCCCACCATGAAAGAATATCTTAAGAATCTGTTATTATCTATACATTAAGCAGAACCTAAAGAAGAAAAATTCCCTCAGACGTAAAAAGCTTATTTAAGTTAGATCAGGAGAGTCGGTTTGATTATTTTGTTCATTATTATTACCGTCACGTCTCTTCAATCTACTTTAATATTAACCTTGAGCATTATCTTTAATTCTCGTTAATTAATCCCAGGCAAAAAAATACCCAGACTATAATATTTATATTCTATAATTTAGTTTTTAAAGAATTATTGAATATCTAGCGAGAATTATCCGGCCAGATATCACCATTAACCTTATTTGGCCGTTTGTTACCGGGAACGTAATATTTCGTTCTATAATACCATGAATTTAATACCAAGGTGAATATTGCCATGTAAAGTCAGGTGTGATAATACTATGAATTTAATATTAGGCCGAACATTAACATATCCAATATATTTTACCATTCAATATATAAGAAAATTTAGTCAATATAAAGGATACATTCGCCTAAGTTTTATATTATTTATGTGGAATATATAAACGCTGCCAGTTGGATATACAAGTGAATTAAGATGTGTTTTGACGTTAACAAGAATAAAAAAAATAGTAAATAACTTATTGGTGGATTTTTTTTATCTTGTCTATGATTCAATATATTCTTATTTGTTTACTATTAAAAATTTCTTCTATGTGATTTTTTAATTTTCAACTTTTATATGAATATCAATAAGTCATTTCATATTTTGATGACTCATGGCTAGATTTATTTTTTTATAAACATTATAACATTATATCATATTTCTAATTAATTACTTTGTTCGCTTTTACAAATGAAAAGTTTAACTTATTTGTGTTTTTTTTTAATACTACAATCATTTCATATTACCTATAAGGGTTGAATATAAAAGTCATTGTATATTTCAGGATTTATTTAACAAGCATTCTTTGTTCAGTGTATTCTGTATATTTACATACTGAAACATCATCTCTTAACATTATCTTTGGCTGCCGTAGACTCGAGTACTTAAGAGTTAACAATACTTTGTGATTCACACCAGAACGTAAACAGTAAAACATGGCGAGGTCCAAGTCCTTCCTGCTGACCTGCCACCTCCTCTAGCTGCTTCTGCTCCCTCCTGCGCACCAAGTACCTCTCACTCACCAAGGTAGAAGTCACTGGCGGCTCCACACCCATGATCTTACTCAGTTACTAGTATAACGAAGGAGTAGACATGGTTCCGGGGTCTTGTTAGCGGAGCGCGGAGGCTGACGGACACGGCAGCGGGACACCTGGCCGGGGACATCGTTCACTGTTACGGAGATTCTTTTTCAGGTGGACGGATCTCTGTAATGATCAAGTAGAGCTCCGTAAGTTATGACTCTTAACAAAATAGAGATTGATAAATATAAAGCATATGAGCAGAGCAAAGAGTTCACTGGATGTGTGAATATTGCGGAGCGGCTAATTTATTCATAAAGATAGGTATCTACTGCACTGTCGAAATCACTGAAACTAAACGACACTCGGTCTTGCACTCACCTGACTAGACACTGAGGATGCGGCTACACTGCCGGACACCAACACCTAGTGTAGGAGCTCTGCGAGGGCGGCAATATACGTCTGGGCCATCTGCAGGGTCTCGAATTTCGACAGTTTCTGGTCACCACTGAGAGCTGGGATCACTTCTCGTAAGCGGTCGAAGGCGTCGTTTAGTCCATTCATGCGGCGCCGCTCTCGAGCATTTGCCGCTAGTCGACGTTTTTTGAGCACATCACGACCCACTGTCTTGGGGGGTTTCCTTTTGCACTTTGTCTGGCGGCCGCGGTTTGCTGCCTGTACTGCCGATCCTGACGAGGTAGTGACGACGGCTGCGGCAGCGGCCAGTAGCGGGTGGGTGGTGCCAGGAGCGCCCCACGACCACGAGGCTGGCCCACTAGATGACATACTCCAAGAACGAGGCGAACCAACTTCAAGACTCTCACAACTGCTCATGGGAGAGCAGGAGGGACTTGGGCGCCCTTCGGAGTACGAGGAGGTGGTTATGTGTGAAGACCAGGAAGGTGACGAGGCAGTGGGTGGAGGTTGGCACTGTGGGCTGGGCGTGGCACTGGGATGGTCGTAATGCGACATGACACAATAGGGCGCTGCGGGGCTGAGCTGGCCGGGGCCAGAATAGGGTGGGTAGCCACCCTGGTGGGTCACGGGGTACAGCCACTCCGACACTGACATACTTGTCGACGCTATTGAACTAAACTCTGACCCACACCTCTGTTCTCCTGCTTTTAAGGGCTCGGCTCACTCAGAATGGTCACGTGATCACGACAGCCAATCCGGGTACGGGTAGGCAAGAGCGGGGCGGGGCTGACGGGTGCCCGAGGTCACTGTTGTGGCTGCTGTGCCCCAGCTACCGCCCAGACCCCCACCCTTCCCTCCTCCTCCTCCGCCCCTACTCGTTTACCCACTCCATCCACCCCCCTACCACTCGTCTACCCCTACTCGTTAACCCCTCCTTTTACCCATACTCGCTGATCCCTTTCCTTTACCCTCTACTCGTTAACCCCTCCCTCCTACCCTTATTCGCTGATCCCTTTCCTTTACCCCTACTCGTTAACCCCTTCCTCCTACCCTTACTCGTTCCCCTCCTACCCCCACCCCACACCTCGTCTACCCCTACTCTTTCATCCCCCTCCCACCCTTCCTCCTCTCATATACACCACTCATCTACCCCTTCTCACTCACCCCTCCCTCATATCCACCACTCCCTGGGTTCTTGGAACTTGCATGCTAGAACTTTGAACATGAATGGTGTGAAACCTGAACCTCAGAGCTTGGAATTTGGAGCTTTGGACCTTGAAATGTCGATCGTGAAGTGCCGAGTCCTTGAGCTTTATCTTTGAATCTCTGATCTTGGAACTTTGAACCCAGATGAACCTTTGAACTTAAATCTTTTTATCCCCGAACCTTGAGAGTTGAATCAAAAACCTCGAAACTTAGATCTGAACCGTGAATCTCGAACCCCAAACCTCAGAAAGTGAACCTTGAACCTCGGCACTTGGTTTAATCGCCTTGACAATTGAACCTTGAACCACGAACCATGAGAACTTAGTGGTTGATGCTTGGATGGTCGCTTGAGTCACCCCTACCATGTCGTGTTGGCTAAAACCCGCTTCTTGGCTGGCTTTCTAGCCTCCTCCGCCGCTACTGGCTATTAATTACCTTTTTTGGTTCATTATCACGGTCAGGGGGGTGGCGGTGTGGGGGCCTGCCTTCTCCTCCTCCTCTCCTCTACACGTGAACTTTGATGCCCTTCCCTCCCTTCTCCCCCACTCTTTACTTCTTCTCCCCCTCCCTTCTTCTTCCCCTTCCCTTCACTCTTTCCAACCTTCCTTACCCTCCCTCTTCTTATTCCCCACTCATCCCTCCTCTCCCCTCCCTCTCCACTCTCACCAACCCCCTTCCCCTCTCCGCCCCTTCCCCGTTACTGTCTCTCTAATCTCCTACTCTGCTCCTCCTCTCACATGATAAACACATCGTTATTATTTTCAGCTATTGTCCACAACAACATCGTGACCTGCATTGTATATATATAGGAGTGATCATTGCTTGTTACTGCCTGTGTGTGTGTGTGTGTGTGTGTGTGTGTGTGTGTACTCTGGGTGTTTACGTATTGTTATTCCTATATTAACACCTACATACATTATTGGATTAATTTACGTGACGTGTTGCTGATTTTGCAGTTCCTTGAGGTGTATATATTCATCCACTCGTTATAAGCAATCATATAGCAGTGTCTTCTTTTTCTTCTTCTTCTTTCTTCTTCATCTTTCTTCTTCTTCATCTTTCTTCTTCTTCATCTTTCTTCTTCTTCTTCATCTTTCTTCTTCTTCTTCATCTTTCTTCTTCTTCATCTTTCTTCTTCTTCTTCATCTTTCTTCTTCTTCTTCATCTTTCTTCTTCTTCTGCATCTTTCTTCTTCTTTTTCCTCTGTTCTTAACCCGATATTTTAATTTATTCTTTACAGTAAATATCTTCCCCCTATGCCCATTAACCTAACCTAACCTAATCTAACCTAATCTAACATAAGCTAATCTAATCTGACCTATCGTAAGGTAATCTAATCTAACCTAAGCTAGCGTAAGCTACTCTAATCTAACCAAACATAAGGTAATCTAATCTAACCTAAGCTAACGTAAGCTAATCTAATCTAACCTAACTTAACCTATCGTAAGGTAATCTAATCTAACCTAAGCTAACGTAAGCTAATCTAATCTAACCTAACTTAACCTAACGTTGGTAATCTAATCTAATCTAACCTAACCTATCGTAAGGTAATCTAATCAAACCTAACCAAACATAAGCTAATCTATATCATACTTAATCTACCCAAAGGTAAGCTATTCTAATCTAACCTAACCTAACTCAACCTAACCTATCCCAAACAATCCCAACATAACTCAACCCAAGCTAATCTAACTTAACCTAACCTAACCTCAGTTGCTGTCAATCCCTTCATCTCCCCCTCTCCCCACCCTTATCGGTTCACTGCATGTCCTTACAATCATCCTCCCATTCTCGTTACACCACAAGATCAAAAACAGCCTCACATTCTATTATCTCTTCAGACCCACATCATTCTTATTCCTAATCTAATATTTATTTTCTTCACTTTACAATACTCATCCTATCATCTTCACTACAACACCTTCTTAGATGTTACACGTTGTCGGAAACACACACACACACACACACACACACACACACACGAGGATCAAATACCATACAACAGTCACCACGTTCATTGTCTCTCCGCCGTTATTCATTACACTAAACTCATACTGCACACTTATGTTACCTCGTGCAAGTACAGTAGCTAAAACAACTATCTGTGCAGGTGGGGGTCGATATGCTCCGAAATTTTACGTGTGACTAGTGACAGCCCTTAATATACCAATATTTATCGTCCATGGTCTCATATTGTTTCTCACAAAGTATGCGCAGATGCTTGTTTTAGTCACTCCTCCTCCCTTCATTAATAGTTGCTTCGTTAGTATTATCTGTAGTGATTTATTCGGATTATCTCTTATCAATGTTATCGATGTTGGAATAGTTATATACATAGATAAATACACCTATATGTGTGTGTGTGTGTGTGTGTGTGTAAATATATAGTGTAAACCCGAAAAAATGCAAAAATGCTAATGCTCTCTCTCTCTCTCTCTCTCTCTCTCTCTCTCTCTCTCCATCATTCGTCTTCCCTGCTCCAAAACCACCATTTAACTTCCTCCTCATCTCATCCACAGTCATATTCCAATGTTTTTTGCACTTGTCTCCCCCGCCTCGGACCCCACACATACAGCCCACACCTCCACGCTGTTTTTGCCTTGGCACACCCACCGCGACCCATACAAAACACACCTACTCGTTATAACCTTAACAAGCGCTTAAATTCTGGAATTCTTTGAGCCCCATCACCAGCAGCCTCGGCAGTGTCGTGGCGCTCACCTGTAGAAGCCGTTTGTGACTTGCATCGTTTCCTTCCAGTGGCTTAATGAAATAATCTCTTAATAATTGGTGGTTTGTAATGTGAAAATTTTACACACAAAAAATATTGTTTGAGAAGTATAAATACTGATCCTTTTCTTGGATCTTTAAGTGCGTAACAAGGTTAGTAATTACACAAGTCCATCAACAATTATAACTTATGGGAGGTAGAACTCCTTGCTTACTCTCTGTTCCAAGAGTAAACAAGTACTAGCTATCCTTATGCTGCACCAGTGGTCGAGAAACTCATTTTTCTCAAAGATTAATATTTCTACCAAGTGAGATGGAGCGAGTCAGTGTCCCAGTCATTTATAAAGCTGCTGCAGCAGTGTACGAGTATATATATATATATATATATATATATATATATATATATATATATATATATATATATATATATATATATATATATATATATATATATATATATATATATATATATATATATATATATATATATATATATATATATATATATATATATATATATATATATATATATATATATATATATATATATTTCATGTAGATCACAATGAAAACGTGGATAAGATAAATCTTGATAAAATCACACGTGTGATTTTATCCAAGATATATATATATATATATATATATATATATATATATATATATATATATATATATATATATATATATATATATATATATATATATATATTTCATGTAGATCCACAATGAAAACGTGGATAAGATAAATCTTGATAAAATCACACGTGTGATTTTATCAAGATATATATATATATATATATATATATATATATATATATATATATATATATATATATATATATATAATTTATATTATTCATCCTCACATCCTCAATACAACCCTGTATACAAGTGTGATGCGGCGTTTTAGTTGTTCTTTGGTACCGGAAAAACAAATTCTTAAAATATTGCGACTAAACAAAATATTATAAGTGGGAATAATTCCGCGACACAGTGAAACACCCAAGATATATTCATACATTTACGTAACATATTATAAACCATGAGGTGAGAGGCGACACTTCCTGAGGCTCACACCTCTTCACTGACCCACACTATACACACCAGCGAGGAGGGAAATATAACCCCAAAATACCTATTCTGCTCTACACTGACACCGGGTCCGGCACACACCTGCCACTCAGTGTCATCACTAGTAAACACTTGGTCTTGACCTCACGGGGCTACACCACCAGCGTGACCGTGTAGGAGCTCAAGTCTCGGGGTTCAACACACAGGTTTTGGTAGCCGCGCCCCCGAGCGTCCTCCACCTTGGTAATCACCAGGTAAATACACCTCCATATTACGTTCTCCTCCTAATAGGGACCAGCACGATCAGCTTTCACCCTGCTGCCACACCACAACACAAAACCAGACCCACGTTACACCAGTACCTCAAAATACAAACAAAATTATCTCTGCATTTTTTATTATACCGTTCGCTCTTAAAACAGCAATAGAATTAAGAAGACACAGTTACCAAATGGTGCTTGGATAACATTTCCATACACAAACCATCCGACGGGAGTATACAAATCAAGGAAGTCTTAGGGCATCGTTGACTAAGACGGGGGCAAATAAAGACAAGATAGGAGGGTGAGGGGTAGGAGGTGTGAGGTAGGGAGAGAAGTGAGGAATAACAGAGACAACACGAGGAGCTCAAACCCACCATAACTAACACACTGAGGCCAAGAGGTCACGATTCTCCCTTCCTCCCTCCCTGTTGACTGTACCCGCACTACACTGTCTCCTGTTGACTGTACCCGCACCAC